GAATGTACCACAATTTCTCAATCCATTCGTTTGTAGTTGGACATCTGGGCTGTTTACATGTTCTTGCTATGGTGAATAATGCTGCTATAAACACTGGTGTAATAATCTCAATTTGTGCCTCAGTTCTCAAATTCTCAGTGTATATTCCAAGTAGTGGAATAGCTGGGTCCTATGGAATGTCTATGTTCAGCTTTTGAGGAAGCTCCAAACTGCCTTCCAAAATGGTTCTACCATTTTACAATCTCACCAACAATGTATAAGAGCTCCTTTCTTGCCACATCCTGTCCAACATTTGTTACTTGCTGCCCTATTAAACTTTGCCACTGTGACTGGAGTGAGATGGTAGCTCACTGCAGTTTTGATTTGCATCTCTTTTATTGCTCAGCTTATGTAATTTAGTCTTTGAGAAAGCTGCTGGAGGATCAGCTATGAGTCACTTCTGACACAATAGCACGTAACAGTAACAGTACAGAGTGGGAAGATGATAAACGTTAAGGTATGGTCTACCTTACCCAATTTCCCAAGCTAGCTTTTGGAAAGAGTCTTGTTTCTCACTTCCTTTTCATGGATCTTCCCTATCACTAAGGAGAAGTTCAGAGACTGTAACCACCACAAAAGAAACAGCAAAAAAGCTTGGAGCCTCAACATGCTAACAAGTTATCTACTCTGAGAACTGAGCAGAAACAACAAACAAACTGCTGGTTGTGCAGATGTGTGTGCTGTTCTGCGTCCAGTAAATGGGGCATCTCACTCCATCATCACAGGTCAGCGAGGGTGGGTTTCCTGGCTTCTGGCGAGGCAATGGCTCCCTTACTTGCTTGTTTGTGTTACTATTCCTCAGGCAGGTGATCTGGTAGTCATTTTTACGGTGGTTCTAGCAACAAGGCTGTACGACAAGATCATTTCAACACTTCACCTTAGTGAAACGCAAAGTTACAGAAGTAAATCAGAGATTCCCTGGATTTTTCCAACATATTTTTAAAAAAAGTCTCATCTCATAAATGGAAAACTTCTAAAGCTATGAGGATCATAAACATGTCAAAAGACATAGTTTCCTGCCTAAAGGTACAACTTCTCTCCTCAGTCCTCCCAACTCCTCAAGGCTAGAGTCTCCAGCCTGGCAGTTAAAACACAAGTTACAAGACCCCATTTCAGAGTCTCTGATTCAGTGGGTCTCAGATGATGCCTCGTAACCTACACAAATGCCCAGATTATGTTGATTTTGCATATCAGTAGGTTATAATCTGAACACTGCTATCTTAAGACAATATTATGTATGGTTAAGGGCTTGGTGGTTAACGAAAATGTCAGTAGTTCGAACCCACCCATGGCTCCACAAGAGAATGACCTCGTATTCTTGCTCCTCATAAAGATTTACAGCCTAGGGAACACTAGGGGCATTTCCACTCTGTGCTAGAGTCCCCAGGACTCAGAATCAACTAGATGGTATCTAGCAACAACAACAAGCCCAGAACTAGTTAACACACTGTCTTGTCTAAATATAGTCTATGATGACATTCTGGAATATCCATCATCAAAGAAATGATAGAATTCAATCTATCTATCAAACTTTATAATAACAAGTACTCAAATGTAGTTTATAATATGTTCTCTAGGTCGTATAGCCCTGGTGTACAAGTTGCCGTACAGTGGTCACTTGTGGTTGCTGTGAGGGTGAACACTGTGACACTGATGTGTGTCAAATGAGTTAATGGTTGGTTACCCAATGTAGACAGAGAGTGGGGTGGAGCTCCCCGATTAAAACAAGCTTGGAAGGAGGAGTGGCGTCCACTTCCGTAATAACTTGCCTCTGGAAACCCTATGAACCTGGAGAGAGGATGAAAGGTACCCAAGCGTCGAGGACTCTCCTTTATAGGGTCGTTATGAGTCGCCTGCGACTCGACGCACTTAACAACAACAACAGTACAAATATGACGAGTATAATCAAGTAAGACAGTAAAAAAAAAAAAAGTCCTACGAATTGTTAATTCTACTTGCCTGAAGAAAACATTCAAAAAGTAAAAAACCTACCAGTGCCAAAATGTACATATGACATTGAGATGAAAAAAGGCCTGAAAAGTAGCCATTCAAACTACAGGATATTGAATCAAGTGAGCAGCACATGACCATAATAAATATCAAAGTCAAGCCTATGGATTTACATAGGGAGCTCTGGGGGCTTAATGATTACAATGGGCTGCTAACTTAAAGGGTGACAGCTCAAATCCACAAGCCATCAGGAGAAAGATGAAAGAAGAAGGAAAAATAACTAACCTATGTTGGGAAGGGTTAACAAACATTTTGAACCAAATATGCAGCTTTAATTTTACACTGTTTATACATCTTAAAAGACACCAAATATTCTCCAGTGTTGTTGTTAGATGTCATCAACTCCAACTCATAGTACCCCTCTATACAATAGACCAAAGTGTTACCCAATCCCGTGCCATCCTTGTCATTATGCTTAATTAAGCTCAGTGCTGCAGTTACTGTACCAGTCCGTCCTTGTCTCTAAGGAGTACTCTGACCTTCCTTCTTCTAAAACATCTTTGTTCTTATGGCAGTCCATGTTCCATACTCTTCATCAACACACTTCAAAGACATTAATTCTTCTTCAGTCTTCCTTCTTCATTCATAATTCCAATTGTCACATGTATGGGTCAGGGCCACCTTAGTCTTTAAAGTGACATCTTTTCTCTTTAGCATTTTAAAGAGGTCTCTAACAGATTTGCCCAATGCAATACTTAAGTTAATTTCTTGACTGATACTTCCATGGGTGCTATTTGTAGAAACCATGCAAAATTAAATTCTTGGCAATTCAATCTCATTTCTCTTCTCCATTTATCATGTTATTTTTTTGTCCAGTAGTAAAGATTTTTGTTTTCTTGATGTTAAGATTTAATCTGTACTCAAGGCATTAGCTGTCAATCTTTTTCCTTAAGTGCTTCAAGCCCTCTTCACTTTTATTTTTATTGAAATTTTAATGAAAGTTCAGAGATTTTGGGTTTCCATTCATTCATTGTTGCTCATTTTCCACCCTGCCCACCTCTCCCCCTCCCCAGTTGCTTCTTTGAAAAGTGAAAACAAAACCAAACCAAATCTTTATTATATAATCTCCTCCCCTCTCATTATGGACTCTTGTCATGAAAATAATACCTAATAATATATTCCTTTCAAACAGGTCTTTCTCTCATCTATTTCAATACAGTATACATTATTTATCCCCTATATTCTTAGATTTCCCCCCCAACTCTGATGTCAGTCTTATTTTGTAACAGTGGAATTATGCAGTATTTGTCCTTTGTGACTGAGATATTTCACTTCGCATAACGTCCTCCAGGGTCACCCATTTTGAATAATATTTCATGAATTCCTTATTTTTCAATGCAGCACAATATTCCACTGTGTGAATATACCACAGCTTCTCTATCCATTTGTTTGTTGATGGGAACTTACATTTTTTCCAACTCTTGCTATTGTGAACAAAACTGTGATAAACATGGATGTGTATATATCTGCTTGGGTGGCAGTTATGGTCTTTTTAGGGTATATTTGCAGTACTGGAATTGCTGGGTCACATGGTATCTCTATTTCCAACTTTATGAGAAAGCACCACATTGCCTTTCATAGTGGTTGCACCATTTTACACTGCCACCAACAGTGAATAAGGTTTTCAATTTTTCTGCAACCTCGCCAGCATTTGTTGTTTACTGTTCTGTCAAATTTTGCTAATATTACTGGGGTGAGATGATAGTGCATAGTTGTTCTGCCCTCTTCACTTTCAACAACAAGGTTGTGTCATCTGTGTAATGCAGGTTGTTGATGAGCCTTCCTCCAATCCTGAGATAGGGCTTCTTCCCAGAGTCCAGCTTGTAGGATTATTTGTCCAGCATACATACTGGGTGTGTATGGTGAAAAAATAAAACCCTAACACACACTATGGCTTTAAACCATGTAGTTTCGTCTTGTTCTGTTAGGATGACTGCTTCTTGCTTCAATCAGGAAATAATTTAGAAAAAGAAAAAAATGTGATCCAAAGTCAAAGAAAAATGTATTGGAAAAAAATCAATCTAGTCACAGGAGACAAGCACAACTGTCAGAAATAGCAAATACAAAAATGTTTCACTTACTGTTTGGATTCACTGTGGCAAACTTCCAAGGTTGGGTCATTGTAAATGAAAGCAGCTTCTAAATCGTTGACCCTGACACGGTATATTCTGCACTGTTTGCTGTTCAACTTGATTCTATTCAAGTTTGCAACCGTGGGAAAAATTGTCAATTCCACAAATCCCTGAAAAGGCAAAGATTACAATTTCATTATATTTAAGTTTGGTATGTTTCAGAACTTGGTTTATTTTTATCTTTTACTATTCATATATATGCTGCATTAAAAAAATATATATATAATTCAGAACAGATACATAAACACAATTGCTCTTTAAGAATCTTAATTTCAAACGCAGTTGTCCTGGTGAGCAAACAGGGGTGACATATGTATACTTCATCATCACAGTAGTTCATGTTCATAATCAATGAACTAGTGCACCTGCCAGCAAAAAGGTGAATGAAGCCACTGGCGACCAAACAGGAGGGGGAAAAGCATGGGCAAGGGAAAAGAAAGACAATGAAAACCAGAAGCAAAATCCTTGATAACTGAGTCAATCTCAATTGCTATTGGCCCAGTGTTACAGAACAGAACCACATCAATGAGTTTCCAGGGATATAAACCTTTCACACAGATTACTCGCAACAGACCTATATGTCGGCAAGGAAGCAACTGGTGATTCTCAACAACTGACTTTTCAGGTAACAACTGAGAGCTCTACCACAGTGCCATCAGGGAGCCTTAAATCCAGGAGGAGGCTGGTGAGCAAAAGATCCCCGAGTCCCTGCTCCTAAGAGGTAGATCAGGACACAGGAAGCGCCATGATGTTCAGGCAAGTAGGGAAAAATCTATGATTGAGTCTAGAAGCAGTAAATGCTTCTAAGCAGCAGATAATTTCACAAGTGGTTCACAGGAGTATTGAGAAGTTGTACCACCAACATGAAGGCACTGGGTTCAAATCCACGTTTCTCTGTGGGAGAGAAAGGTAATCTATCACATGCGATTTGTTGTTCTTAAGTGCCATCAAGTTGCTTGCACCTCATAGCTACTCTGCTTTATCCTGTGCCAATTTACTGCCTCTGAAAATTTGCTGGAGGGTTATCTGTGAACTGTTTCTGCCTTCAAGGAACAACAGTTCACAGACGGTTATATATTGTTACTACAAGTTAAGTAGACAGTGGGCAATTTACCTGAAGCATATACCTTAGAAAGGAGACGGCCTTGCCATCCATAATAGGTCAGCAGGAACAAGATTTAAATTTTAAAAATAGAGGAAAAAAACAAAGGGGAGACTGAAGAAGCAGTAGGGTCTAGCAGAAAAGCCTTGAACTTTGGAAATGAACGAACTTGAATTCCAATTCTTACTGCTTCTTGAAGCGCAGTTATCTGAAGCGCAGTTCTTAAGAAGTGTACAGGGTGGATTTGGAACTACTGAGAACACACTTACCACCACAGATTTCCTCTGGAAGTTTATGTTGTTTATGCAGACCACCTGATGGGTCGTATATCAGAAACAAAAAATAGAAGAAAGAAAAAAATTATTAGCATTATTAAGTGGAAGCGTAATTCTACCCAGGCTTGAATAGAGGCTGTTATCTTCAATAAGGCAAAAAATGACACCTTTAATCTTACACTTCAAAACCCCACCCACCGGGACAACTTGTTTGAAATCGATCACTAGTAACAGGGCTAGACTTGCTTTGAGAGAAGCCCAGTTTGGAACCTGAAGGTTTATTAATCTGCAAGCCCATTAAATCTGCAACATGAAGGACTGGGACATTTCCACCCTATAAACAGCAGTTCCATCACAGTGACATTGGATCTGGTTTTCCAGCAGTTGCAACATCTCATCATCGAGAACAGAATTCCCAAGAGAAGGAAGGGGGGTAGGATGAAGGGGAAAATACTTATAGTTTATAGGGTCTCGGGCTTTCAAAGCCCTTGTCCCCCTTCTTCCTGTTCATCCTGGCGGGCTCTAGGCCAGTGGGCGGCATGGAGCGCTCGGGCGAAGCCTGGCGGCCCGACTTCCCGGGGGCTGCAGGGCATCACCGGACTCGGGGACCCCCCGTCTCCCCGCGATCCGGGCGGCACGGCGCGCGGACTCGATCCCGCACCCCCGGACGGGCCGGCGCCCCCGACACGCCTCCCCCGGCCCTGCGATCCCAAAGTCTCCGCCGAACTTGGCAGATGCGAAAAGCTCCTCTTATCAACCGCCAGCCCCGATCACCCGGCAGGCCCGGCGCCGCCTTCACCTCCGACCCGACGTCACCGGAAGTGCGCCTGCCGAGGGGCGGGACCAGGAAGTGCACGGCCTGCGGGCGGGGCTTAGGCGATTTGGCGGTGTTTTGACGTTTAGCGCGCACGTGGAGCCAGAGTGGGGCGAGATTATGAAAAGTTCGGAAAATGCGGAGACGTATGAGCGGGTACAGCGAGCAGGCTGGTGGGAAAGGCGGAAACATTGCATTTGGGAATGATTAAAGCTCGGAGAAAACACTGAATAATTTGGAGATTGGGTTTGGCAGTAATGATGGATGTCTCCACGGGCCAGGAAGACGCGTGGGCTTGTCCCTCACCTGCTCCAGGAACACAGTTCTTGGGCGTGCAGTTGAACAAGCCCACAGTTCGCCTTCGAGCGGGTTTTTGCAGGCTGTCATTGCAGGAGAGATTGCCCGTCTAGTGAAGCAACTGGTGGATTTGAACTGTAACTTTGGGTTGGCAACACAACTCCTTACCCGCTATTTTTAAGTGTCCTGAGTCGCTTATGACTCATAGCAACCCAGAGAGCAATCGACGTGAACCCTGCCCTATCCCGAGCTATCCTCATCATCTCTGACATACTCAAGCCCACCTTAATAGTCACTGTGTTAACCCGTCTCATTGAGGGTCTTCCCTTCCTCTGTCGACCTTCGACCTTTGCAAGCAAAAGTCCTTATTTCCAAGGATTGGCTGCTTCTAACAACATGCCCAAAGTATATGAGATCAAGTCTTACTATCTTTGCCTGCAAAGAAGACCCTGCCTGCACTTTTTCCAAGACGTTTGTACTTTTGGCAGTCCATGGGATATTCAGCACTCTTTTCTAACACAAAGGCATCGATTCTTCTTTTTCACGGTGCAACTTTGAGCTGCATAGCAATTATGGGAAAGGATCATAGTTTGAATTAGGTGCACCTTAGTCTTCCCACCACGTGGCCAACTGGCAGCATGATAGAGGAAGATACTGAAATTACTGACAATTTCAGCTTGCTTGATTCCACAATCAACACTCTTGGCACCAGCAGTTAGGATATCAAAAGACAAACGGGACTGAGAAAAATCTGTTGTCTGGGACCTCTTCAGAATACTAGAGAGCAACTGTCTGAACACTAAGGTGCACCTAACCCAGGCCATAGCCTTCACAATTACTTGTTATGCATCAGAGAGCTGGAAAATGACAAAGGATGATAGAAGAATCAATGCTTTGAGTTGTGGTGCTGAAGAAGAGGTACTAAAGATACTGCGGACTGTTAAAAGAACAAACAGGTTTGTCCCGAGAGGGTGAGACCAAGCTACTCCTAAGAGGCAAAGGTTTTGAGACTAGTCTCAAATACTTTGGGCATTTTGCCAGGAGAGACCAGTCTTTGGACATCATGCTTAGAAGGGTGGAGGAACAGTGCAAGAGAGAAGAGCCTGGATGAGATGGATGAACTCAGTGACTAGGGCAATGGAGGTAGGTGTGGCAGAGACAAAAAGAGAATGGCTCAGCAGAGGGCAGGGTTCAGAGCTGTCGTACATAGGGTTATTTTGAATTGAATGAACTCAATGGGACATAACAAGTCTTCAAACTGACAATATTACTTTTCAGCATTTTGGGGAAGTCTCTGACAGCACTTTCCCAATTCAATATGTCTTTGGATTTCCTGACTGCTGGTGCCAAACATGTTGACTCTGGACTCAAGTAATATGAAATCAAGGACAATTTCTATCTCTCCATCATGATGTTGCCTATTGTCCTGGTGGTGAAGAATTTTGTTTTCTTGATGTGAACAGACATTATTAAAACGCAGTGATTTAAAAGCTGAGACTGCCAAGGCTCTAATCAGTCTATCAAACTCTTGGTACCCCTGCCTCAGTATTAAAAACAAAAGAAACTAGCATGTAATTCACATTCATGTAGGACTAACACTTTATTGAAAATGGTTTCTTTTTAAGCCGTTGTATTTACATTCCATGTACAAAATAGTTCTAAATTCCTATAAATTAGTCTTTGTCAACCATTACCCACTAACATTTTTAAACCTTAAATCAGATTTAATTATGGCCTACTCACTCTATGTCCTGGTCATGTAAAATTATTATGAACATTAGGGGAAGACCCTCTGTGAGATGGATTGATTCAGTGACTGGGGTAATCAGGATGGGTGTGTCAGAGGCAATGAGATTGGTACAGGATAGAGCACAGTTTAGGGCTGTTGTACATAGGGTCGCTATGAGTCGCAAACGACTCGACGGCACATAACAACAACAACAACAACAAATGTAATTGGAGCGATGGTCTTAGCCAAAACAAATTAAGCAAATAAAATGATGGAAGAACCTTATCAAGCATTCTAAACTAGAAATTATTTGTGTATTTTCATTAGAACATCTCTGCCAGTGTTCTCTATTATTGAAATGATCATTAATCATTGCAGGCAGTATCTCACTCTGTTTCACATAAGGTTGCTATGAATGGAGGCAACTGGGCAGTACCTACTACAACTTGAAAAAAAATTCTATTCATATTTTTCACATTGGATTAAGGAGCAAACCCGTATCGTCTTAAAGTGCAAGTGTGCACGAGCCAAGCCAACAGGAGAGTAATTGCCAAGTCAATTCAAGCAACTACTTTAATAACTGATAGCTTTGAGTTGTTTCAGTGAATGGTTGGAAGTAGAAAGGAAATTGTGTACTTGAAAGAAGACTTGTAAGTAAATCAGTAATTCTGTGCTACAAAAGCAGTACTATTCAGTTTTCTGAAAAATATTTAAATACATGAATGACTCCAACATGAAATCACAGTGAAACAAATGAAATTTCAAATATTTAAAAACTCTAACATTCCAGTGTAGTACATCAGAGATATACTAAGCATAGGAAATCATACTTTCACTATCAGTGTTAAGACTGTCTACAGGAGCTCTGGTGGACCAGTGGCAAGAAGCTGCGCTGCAATCCTGAAGGCTTGTGATTCAAAGCCACCAGCTGCTCCAAGGGAGGATGGGCCATCTCCTCCTGTGTCACTAACTGCTTCTGAAAACCCACCTCAAGGTCAGCTGTGGGTCAGTTCCCGCTCGACGGTACACAACAACAACAAAATAAAAAAATAGACACACTCACACATCTTACTAAAGCAAAACAAAACAAAAACTGTCTTAATAATATAAATTTAACCGGACAGATACAACATTAACCTTTTATATTCAAGAATATAAACAGAAGGAAGTAGGGAATTTTATTTACAAATACAAAAGAGAAAATGCTGAGGACGAAGGAAAAATATCTTTAAGGATGAGTTTTTAAATTAGGAGTAAGAAAAAGAAAACACTTCAAAATGAAAATACATGAAGGTCTTTTTTCTTGTACCCAGTAACTTTAGAAAGGAACTTTAATCCCAAAAAACGATGGTTTCAGTCTTTAAGGAATAGGTCTTCTTGAATTGTAAACTTTCACACCATTTTGCATTGAAGAACGAGCATACTTAGTGAGTAATGCCCCTATGGTTTGCTTCTCTCCACACAAATCTCTGTAGAAACAATAAAAAGCAACAGAATAGTATAATTACATATAATAACATACATTTCCAGAACTAGTTCTTTTTCTTTCTCTGCCTCAAATCCATCTTCTTTACAAGTCTAAGGGTGTTATCTTAATATGCACAAATTTTGGGAGAGGTTTTGGGGATAAGTATGAAACTTATTTGAGCTACATCTATATTACATGTTTTACTCATATAATCTTCCTAGTAATAGTACATGTATTACATAACCCCACAGTGGATATTAGGAAACACAAGCTCAGAGAAACTAAAGAAGTTCATAGAGCTAGCAAATGCCAGAGTCTTAATTCTGTGCCAAGGATTCTTGGAGGCAAGGATTTCTCAAGCTCCATCTGACATACTTTGGACATGTTGCAAGGAGGAATCAGTCCTTGGAAAACAACGTCATGCTTGGGAGGGTGGAGGGACAGTGTAGGAGGGGAAGACCCTTGATAAAATGGATTGATTCAGTGACGGGGGTAGAGGGGCAGTTGTGTCGGAGACAATAAAGATTGGTACAGGACAGAGCAGGGTTTAGGGCTGTTGTGCACAGGGTCACTTTGAATTGCTGGCACCTAACAACAAATTCTGCAACCAGGTGTGTCTGACTTCCAAATCCATTTTATGTCCACTGTAAGCACTTATCCAGTTAGAAGCCCAGCAATGTGATGTAATAGGGAAGCGTCAGAGAACCTACCTGCATACCAGGCTTCCAGTGTGAACCTGTCCAGGTCACCAACCACTCGAACTTCAGATCTCCCGTATGGCTAATGGGAGAAAAGTATGGCTGGCTCATAATAAAGAGAACAGTAAGGAGGTGAACTGGAAAAGGGAAGAAAGGGAGCCTTCCAGGACACAAAAAGGAGTTGGAAGCCAATGAATTTACAACAATGAGGGAGAAACATGTCTGAAAGAGATGGTGAGTCTGGTTCAACAACTCAAAGAATGTAACCAACCTCCCTGAATTATTCCTGAGGAAACTGGGGAATTGGTTTTTATTTTGCTATGTAGACGCTCAACAATAAAGCAAAGCCACCATTCTTCTGCCCTCAAGTCAATTCTAACTCATATCGACTATACCACACAGGGCAGAACTGCCCAGTGTCCTTGGCCGTGAATCTTTCTTTTATTCTCCCTTTCAGAGTTTTTTGCTTGTTCGTTTTTGTTGTTGTTTTAAATTTTTATTGTCATTTAAGGAAACGTTTATAAACTGGTTTCCCATTCAATCATTTCATCCACATTTTGCTTTAGGGCATTGATGACAATCCCCACACTGTAACAACACGCTTCTCAGTTCCTCAGTGTCATTCATGTTTTCTGTCCTAACCCTTCTTGCCTTCTGAGCTTTATTCTTAGAGAGATGCAGCCCTTTAGATCTTGTATGGTTGATTGTTTTTAAAAAATTTTTACTTTCTATCAGTTTGCTTACAAAGTTCATATACACTGTATTTCACACTATTCTTCATTCACACTGTATTTCATGCAATCATTCCCATGCATTGTTGTTGTTGTTGTTATGTGACATCGAGTCGTTTGCGACTCATAGCGACCCTATGTACAACAGCCCTAAACCCTGCTCTATCCTGTGCCAATCGCACTGCCTCTAACACACCCATCCCGATTACCCCAGTCACTGAATCAATCCACCTCATAGAGGGTCTTCCTGTCCTGTGCTGTCCCTCCACCCTCCCAACCATGATGTCCCTCTCCAAGGACATGTCCCTCATTATCCTGTCTTTTCAGATCCCTGCCAGATCTTTCTCATTTCCTTTTCTTTGACCGTTTTAAGAAGGAAGTAAGTCCTGCTATTAATGTTCACTCTCAAGACCTGTCAATAGTTTGGGTCAAGTCTGAGCCACAGGAACAAGTTCAATTCCACACTTAAAAGGTAATAGAGGATATAGTGTCAGGAGTCCCACTAATCTCTATTAGCCCAGCAAGGCTGATCATTTTTATTATATTTGAGTTTTATTTCACATTTTTCTCCCACTATCCAGAATCCTCTACTGGGATCCCTTTTCAAATGGTCAGCATTGGTTGCCAGGTACTATCTAGTTCTACTGGTCTCAGCATTGTGGAGTTTACAGTTCAAGCAGTCTATTAGTCTTCTGAACAATTGTTTATATGCATCTTCTCCCATCTTCTTTGTCCCAAACAGGAAGAGACCAATAATCGGCTTGCTTCACTAGCTGTCTGCAAGCTTCAAAACTCCAGTCCATACTCAGCAAAGTAGGATTTCGAACACTGCCTTTGTGGACTACTTTGTGGACTATTATGCCATAGACTTTCATGTCCCCATAGATTATGGTCTGAAACCCTTGAAACCTACAATTCTTTCTCTCAGAGTGTTTGGTTATGGTTTCAGTTTACATAATTTTTCCCCCTGCGAGGCTGTAAATCTTAGCAGAAGCAGACTACCTCCTCCTTCTCCCAAGGAACAGGTAATGATTCAAACCATGAATCTTTTGGGTAGCAGCCCAATGCTTAATTCACGATGCCACCCACTTCCTCTGTGAAGCCACTGGTGGTGTTCTTAGGTAAATGCTGTCGCGTTGAGAACAAGAGATCTGAACTCTGGCCTATCCTGTGCCATCTTCACAACCTCTGACCCACTCAAGCCTATTACTGCAGTGACTGTAGCAACACATCTAGGTGAGGGTCTTCCTCTCCTTCACTGTCCCTTCTTCTTTCCAAGAAAGATGCTCCTCTCCAAGGAATAACCTCTCCTAACAACATGCCCCAAGTATGTCAGATGAAACTTCATCATCTTTGCCTCCAAGGAGCACTCTGGCTGCACCTTCTCCAAGACATTTTTTTTGTGGCAGTTCATGGATGATATTCAGCACTCAACACCACAGTTCAGAGATAAATTCTTCTGTCATCCTTAGTCATTGTTGATTGTGACTGAAAAGATCATGGCCTGAATCAGGTTCACCTTAGTCCTCAAACTGACATCACTGCTCAGTAATTTGGAGAGGTCCCTGATTATAAATCTTTCTGGTGCAATAAGTCTCCTGATCTCCTGACTGCTGGTACCAAGTGTACGGACTGTGGATCCAATTAAGATGAAGTTGCTGACAGTCTCCATCTTTTCTTTATCTATAATGATGCTGCCTATTGGTTGAGTAGTGATGATTTTTGTTTTCTTAATGATGAGATGCTATCCGTATTGAAGGTTGCAGTCTTTGATCTTCTTCAAGTCCTAGGATAGTTTTAATTAGTGTAAAAGCATGTGATGTAAATTTTAACAATGGGGCTATTAAGCTGGTGATTATGGAAACTAAATGGTAGATATATAACGAATAGATGGATATATATTATCACTTGTGAATATCTGAAATTCTCTGAAACAAATTTTTAAAAGTGGTATAGAGGGCAAAAAGTAGAGAAATGGGGAGACAAATTGAGAGGTAATTAAAACATGAAGCAGCTTCTAATAAAGTGGTAAGAAGTGGAAAAGTGCTGGATGTATTCTGAATGAAGCCCTATTATCTGAAAGATCTGCTATGAGCATTATGCATGTTGCTAGGAGAGTATCCTTTGGAAGAGTACACCATGCTTAGAAAGATGGAAGGTGCTCGCTTCGGCAGCACATATACTAAAATTGGAACGATACAGAGAAGATTAGCATGGCCCCTGCGCCAGGATGACACGCAAATTCGTGAAGCGTTCCA